TTCTTTCTTTCTTTCTTTCTTTCTTTCTTTCTTTCTTTCTTTCTTTCGACCAGGCAATGGGGTTAAGTGACTTGCCCAGGGTCACACAGCTAGTAAGTGTCAAGTGTCAAGTATCTGAGGTTGGATTTGAACTCAGGTCCTCCTGACTCCAAGGCCGGTGCTTTATCCACTGTGCCACCTAGCTGCCCTTGTTCTTTTCTTAACGAGGCTTGTTTCAGGAATTTGAACACTAGTATCACAGAATTTCAGAATTAGAAGAGAATCTCACCATTCTTCTAGTCCAGCCCATTCCCAAAGGAATCCCTACTCTAACACCGTTAAGTGGGATTCACCAACTCCTGAAGCAGCCCATTGCACTTTTAGATAGCCTTAAGTGTAAGGAAGATCTTCATTATATCAAGCATAGGCGTATCTCATCAAAACTGCCATGGCTGCTCTTGGTTCTGTTCTGCTAAGCCCGCCAGTACTAGTTTAATCTCTCTTCCCACGTTACAACCTTTCAAATACTTGAATGAAGTCCCTCCCTTTGACCTTTTCTTCTCCAGGCCAATTCCCTTACCATGTCCTCATATGACATGGACTCAAGGCCCATCAATGTGGAGGTTGCCCTGGCCAGCTTATTATCAAAGTCTTTCTTAAACTGCATTGTCCAGAACTGAACATAATACCTTCGATATAGCCTAGTCACAACTCTGGAGGACTGTATTTTTGTGTTCCGGAATGAAGAATACAAAGGGGACATTACCTCCTTATACCTATAATCTATTTCTTTCATCAGCCCTAGGTCCACACTGCCTACCCATGGACCTTTTCATTCTTTTCTTTTCTTTTTTTTTGGGGGGGGGGACTGCTTTTCATTCTTGAGACTTCCCAAGGAGGCTTCTGTCAGCTCCATATTCACACCACCCAACTGTGTCCTTTGCTTTGCCCTGGGGCCTTCTCCAATGTTGTACAATTCTTTCTGGAATCAGACCCAATCAAAATTGACAGACAGTTCCTGTCTGGATACCTTCGGGTATCCTCTACCTGTCCTGTCTGCCATGAATCCAGCCTCCTGAGCCTTACTCACTGATCGCATTACCAGGTTTCTCTAGAGGAAGGGTCTTGAATTATCTAATTAACGTCTTCCTTCAGTGGACCTCAATAAAATCCTCAAGATCAGTAGTTCTCTAGCCGCTGATATTCTACCTGGACACATTCCTCAATTGTTAGCATACTCTCACCCTGTGATAGTCTCTCCTTCCCAGTGATTCTAAACTCCTCTGTTATTATGATACAAATCCTATTCCCACCCCTACACCCCCTGAACACCCCCTACTTCCATACCCTTCAACCATGCTTCCCATATGTCTCACTGTAGATCTACTGGCCTGTTCTGCTGTGCTCTCTGGAATGCCTGCTGCATAGTTAATAGACTTTTTAATCTTAAACCTTTTCCTTTATCACTTCTATTTTCTGGTACTACCTGAGATCTGGCTTCCTCCCAATGACAACTGCATCCCTGGCCATCCTTTCAAGACCCAGCACTCATACCTTACAACTCACTGGTCATGGTTGGGGGTGTCAAAATACTTCTTGATCCGCATTGCCACTTCCAGACTCTCCCTCTATCACCATTACCCAACAACCTCTTTTCCTTTGAGGTTCATTCAAACCAAACTTATCACCCAATCAAGATTCTGGTAATCTTGATTCTGGTAATCTGTTAAGCACAGATTTTTAGAATATTCTCCTTCCTCAATGAATTTATGTCTGTCTCATACTCTTTTTATCCATCCCAACCCCTCCCCTCATACTAGAAGTCTTCAATTGATACATTGATACTCCTTCAAATATCCTAACTTCCAAGTTCTTTAATTTACTCCATTCCTGACTTATTCCTTAACCATAACTCAGCTACACACAAATAATGATTATACTCCTGATCTTGCTATCATGCACAAGTGTTTTATTTTCATATTCATGAACTCCAAAATTCTTGTATTTGAATAATCTTTTATCATTCCCTCTTTCCTTTTGCCTTACAAGTCAAGTCAAATCAATGAGCATTTATTTAATGCCTATTATGCTAAGTTCTGGAACCCCTAACCCTATTGTTGTCCTTGCTGTGACCTCTAATCCCTTTACCCTTTAGTTCTTTCTCTGCACTGGCTACACTCCCCTCCATTACTCATGTTGACTTCTTGGTGAACCAGCTCAAATTTACATTGTCCTCCACACTCAGATTCCTTGCACCTGATCTGGTAAATGATCATGCCTTACCAAACCCAACCTTAGATTACTTCCACCATCCACTGACTCAACACCTATTTACATGCTGCTTAAGAGAGCTGGAGAAAATCACCAAACTATGCTGACTGGATCCACCACAAATTTATGTTACATAATCTCAACTGAACCCTCATTAAAAGAAGGCGATCCTTTTATGCTGCCCTAATTATTGATTCATTATCAAACTTGCCAAGGTGGCTGTTCTAAACCTTTTCATCCTTCAGAAAGTCTTATCTACCCCTTCTTCCATCTTCTCAGCTGAAGACCTTGCCTCTTACGTACGTCACCAAAAACATCAAGGCCATTCACTGAGAGTTCCTGTTCTTCTGCTTTTCCTCGTCTCACATCAGTCAAGTGTCTTTTCCATAAGAATAAAATGAGATACTTTATCAAATGCTTTGGGGGCAGAGCCAAGATGGTGAGTAAAGTCTGCATTTTTGCTGAGCTCTCTCAAAATTTACTAAAATTTAGGCAAATTATACCTTCAGCCTTCCCCTCATCAACTAGCTTAATGATCCTGAAAAAAAAAAAGAGGAAATAAAGTTAGTTTGGAATAACCTTTTCTTGCTGAAGCCATACTGATTCCTTTCCTAGATATTCCCTAATCATCTTTTGAGGGATCATTTTAGAATTTTCCCAGAAATCAAAGTCAAGTTTATTGGTCTATATTTGTAGATTTCATTCTCTTTTCTTTCTTTCTTTCTTTCTTTTTTTTTTTTTTTTTGAAAATTGAGACATTGGCCCTTCTCCAGTTCTGCAATACCTCTACCATTTCCTGAAATTCCTCGATGAATTTATGTCTGTCTCATAGTCTTTTTATCCATCCCAACCCCTCCCCTCATACTAGAAGTCTTCAACTGATACATTGATACTCCTTCAAATATCCTAACTTCCAAGTTCTTTAATTTACTCCATTCCTGACTTATTCCTTCTGTTGTTCCTTCTGACAGTGGCTAAGCCCCTAAGCCACTAAGAATGGCTAGGTGGACAACAGAGCCAATATGGCAGAAAAAAAGCAGGGGCTGTTCCAAATCCCCCTCCAAGTAACTTTAAAATGATACCTCAAAATGAATTCTAGAGTAGCAGAACCCACAAAAAGATGGGGTGAAATAATTCTCCAACTCAAGACAATCTAGGTGAGCAGGAAAGGTCTGTAGCACCAAGGTGAGACTATAAAATAGTCTACTTCAAGCAACACCCTTGGAAAGCCAGCAGCAGGTTTTGGGGGCAACTGAATCAGCAGAGTGGCTTCTGGAATTCTCCGCCCACAGATGGTAAGGGGGTCAGATAACTAATCAGAAGGAAATTATAGGGATCCCTTGGCTGGCACTGGGTGCAGGACTCTGTTGCATTGCCCATTTACAGATCTGTGTCAGAATCCTAGGTGA